GGCTTTGGGTTTGTTTTTTGCGTGGATGTGTGGTGGTGACCTCCTGTGTGGTTTTTGTGAGTGTGGGTCTGGTATCATTTTTTGTGTTAGGGAGTCGTTTGTCAATAATGGCGGGTTTACAAATGCTGGTAACGAAGGTATCTCTCGCTTTGTTCATAGCTGGTGGGCGTTTTTCTATCTCGATGGCTTCTCTGATTGATTCGGTTATTAAAATGTTCGCTTTTGGCAATGTTTCTGGTATTTTTAAAGTCAATTTCATGTCCTGTGGCTTTAAGGTGTTGGACCAGGGAAGATGTTGTTTCCTCTTTTTTGACTGAGTTCTTATGTTCTTCAATGCGTGCACTTATTCTTCTGTTGGTTTGTCCGATGTATGTGGTGGGACAAGTGGTGCATGGTATTTCTTATACTCCTTGATTTTCTAATTCAATTTTATCTTTGGGGTTTCTAAGGATGGTGGATATTTTTCTGTTTGTGCAGAATGCTGTTTTGATGTTGTGTTTATGGAGGATCTTACTGATTTTGTCTGTGGTGCCTTTTATGTATGGGAGGAGGGCTTTGCCGTTTTCTTGTTCTTTGTCTTGGATTTTAGTGGGGGTTTCTTTTTGGATTAGGTTTGTAAACTTATTTCTATGGAATCCATTGGATGTTAGTACATTGGTGAGAGTGTGTAGTTCGGGTTTTAGGTGTTGTTCGTCAGCTAAGCGTTTTGTTCTGGAGATGAGTGTCTTGGCTACAGAGTTGATCTGTGCTGGGTGGTGGTGTGAGAGAGCGTGCAGATAGCGGTTTGTGTGTGTTTTCTTCTGGTAGATGGTGTGTCCTAGGGAGCCATTGGATTTCTTGTAGACTAAGACATCCAGGAAGGGAAGTTGGTTGTTAGCTTCTGTTTCCATGGTGAACTGTATTTTGGGGTGTAGGCTGTTGAGGTGTGTGAGGAAGTTGTCCAGTTTTTCTTTCCCATGTGGCCAGATTATGAAGGTGTCGTCTACGTATCTGAGCCAGAGTTTGGGTTTGTGATCCGATTTTTCTAGAGCTTGGGTTTCAAAGTGTTCCATGTAGAGGTTGGCAATGACAGGTGAGAGGGGTGATCCCATGGGTGCTCCTTCTTTTTGTTTGTATTTTTGTCCATTATAGATGAAGTATGTGTTGGATAGGCAGTGGTTGGTCAGATCTAAGATGTGTTTGGGGGGTTATATTTGTTTTGGATAGCTGTCAAGGCTTCTTTGATAGGCACTTGGGTGAAGAGGGATATGACATCGAAGCTCACTAGTAGGTCGCTGGGCTGTAAGTTTTGTTTCTTTATGATCTCTATAAACTGGAATGAGTTTTTTACGTGTGAGGTGAATGGATTCTGCATAGGGCTGTAGTTGTTTGGCGAGAACTTTGGCTAGGTTTTGTAGAGGTGAGCCTATGGAGCTGACTATAGGTCTGAGTGGGGTTCCTTCCTTGTGTATCTTGGGGAGACCATAGAGTTTGGGGCATCTGGATGATTTCTCTCTGGAAATGATTTTTTGCTGGATCTCTTCGCTAATGGGGGAGGCTTTTATTTTGGATCTGGTGTTTTTTTCCAGGTAGGTGGTGGGATCTGTATTTAGGGGTTTGTATGTGGAGTCTTGGAGTAGGTTGGTTAATTTGGTTTGGTAGTCAGATGTGTTCATAACCACCGTGGCGTTGCCCTTGTCTGCTGGTAGGATTATTATGCTGGTGTCTTCTTTCAGGTTACGTAGTGCTGTCTGTTCCTCTTTGGGTAAGTTGCTTTTGGGTGGCTTGCTGGTGCAGAGGATGTTGGTGATTTCGAGTCTGATTCTGTTGGCGTCGTCGGGGTTGATTTTGGTCAGGCTGGTTTCAACTCCACATATAATGGTTTCAGTGGGGAAGTGTTTGGGAGCGACTGCAAAGTTGAATCCTTTGGAAAGGACATTGGTTTCGGCTTTGGTGAGGATCCTATCTGAGATGTTATGCACTGTTTGTTTCATGTGTGGCTGTGAGGGAGGAGGGGTTTGTTTCTGGCGTTCTTGTAGTCTTCGGAGTTTGTTGGTGTGTGTATCTGTCTTGAGGGTGGTCTGTGTTTCGGCTCTCCAGACGGCGAGTTGTTTGGATTTGTCCCAAAGTGCGGGGTGGATCTTGTTGCTGAGTTTGAGGTGGAGTGTGAGGAGATCTTTGTTAATTCGGTCTAGGATGAATCTTTTTGTGTGAAGTTCATTTCTGATTAGGGCCAATTCTGTTCTTTTCAGGATCAGTTTGGTGGCTGCAGAGTTGGAGTGGAATTTCAGTTGGAAACATGTGGGGATTAGATTTTGATCTCAACAGTTGCGTAGGAATGCGAGGTCGCATAAAATGGAAGCTCTTTGGACTTCAGGTTTTTCATAGGTCCTGCTCAGATGGTGGATTTCCTCCCCGTAGAGGTTCGATATTTGTTTTCTGAGGTTTTCGCGGGTATTTGTATGTAGGTCTTTGGTTGTTCGGGTTTTCTCCCGCGTAAAATTGGAAGTGTCTTGGCAACGTTTTGACGAAGTCCCATTGTGCTGCTCAAAGCACGAAGCTGAAAACACCAGCCTGAAGATGACGAATGGGACTTCGTCGAAACGTCGCCAAGACACTTCCAATTTTACGCAGGAGAAAACCCGAACAACCAAAGACCTACATACAAATACCCGCGAAAACCTCAGAAAACAAATATGTTATGTATGTTTACACTTTGAGAGCAAGCAACTAAATTTCATTTTTAATGTGTGCCATTGTGCCCACAGTAAAAAATGAGAATAAAGCTTATCATTCTATCTATCTATCTATCTATCTATCTATCTATCTATCTATCTATCGAAAAGAAGAATAAAATACTGAGAAACAAAATATGAGGTGTGATATAAATATGAAAGTAAATAAAGGGCTCTAGAAATATAAAAGCCAAGTTATTTCTCTGGGGGGAGGGGGTGGATATGTGTCTATGCTAGGAAGTCATAGTATAATATTCTCTGTATTGGATGTGATTGGCCCATGGTCACTTGTGAGCTCTCCAGACAAAGGAGGACTTGAATCTGAGCTTATCCTTTCCCTGATCAATTGCTCAACCACAACACCACATCATGGTGTGAACAGCAACCCAAGGAAAAGGCTTAAAAACATACTTTATTGAAACACATTATGATACAAAGTCAATTCATTGTGACAGACTTAATAATGTAACTGGTATGGAATCCCCTATCCCAATTTTCATTTGTGATGCCCTCAAGAATGGGAAGAAATAAATACTAGCACTGATGATGTTACTTAATTTGGATAATGAAACATCTGCAAGAAAACAACCAAGCACACAGATACCAAGGACCCTTAGAAATAAATTTAGACTCCATCTGAATGTTTATTTACATAATGTTGTATCTTTGAACCAATACATTAAACAAAAGTTAGCTATTCACCCTTCATTGATCATATTAAAAGCAAGGAATGCTCAACAGATGTTTTATAGATTATATCTATTTTTATGAACATACTATACATAAATATGCATTCTTTTAGAAAATGTCTTTAAACAAATGATATGTGAGGCCAATGGACCATAGGCTACATTCTGTGCAGGAACTTTGCATTGTTAATTATCTAAAGAAGAGAGGATTAAAATACTGAAAAACAAAATATGGGCTGTGATAGAAATATGGAAGTAAATAAAGAGCTATAGAAATATAAAAGCTAAGATGTTTCTCTCTGTTTGTAGGAGTGGATTATATGCTAAGAAGTGATAGTTGATTTTGCAGTGAAAGAGTGGATCTAAAGATCTCTCCACTTTTACCTTGGATTGTTCTTACTTCATTACCTGAATTGTCTTCTCCAAGCAACTTTCATTCCATCTCTCTATCCATTTATGAAGACAATGTTTTCAAGAAACATACAAAATGATTCATCATGTGTTCAGGGGGAAATTGTAGCCTTCTTAGAAATATTATCCTTGACATTTAAAGAGCATGTAGTGGTTGGTATCATAGAAGGTTTATTTACTTCTTCTCTATAGAAGCTTGGAATACAGTCTCCAAGGATGTTTGATTTAATTTCCCATGAGTATCTTAGCAGTATACCGTAAATGCCGGCGTATAAGGCGACTTCCGCGAGTGCTGAAATCGGCACCAAAGACGGGGGTCGTCTTATACGCCGAGTCGTCTTATACGCCGGAAATACTGGTAGTTTCCGGCGTATAAGACGACTTTCTAGGAATGCGGCCCGGCTATAAAGACGGGGGTCATCTTATACGCCGGGTCGCCTTGTACGCCGGCATTTACGGTACCTAGAATATACTGAAGACTGATATGCTTTAGATTGAATGTCAAGGGCCATTCCCACATAGGAAGTCCTCTGGAGGCACACCAACAAGAATAAACCTTTAAGCATTTTTTTTAATAGTTGGTTTAATTCCCATTCTTCTCCTACTGCAAAAAGAGTAAGTGTGAAATCTTCACTGAGACAATGCTTCATTTTGTACAGAAGGTTGAAAAGATCTCTTGATTTCCATTAGTATCCATAGATTAATGGCAAGAGTAGATTATCTTGAATCAGCATGACTATTGCCCAGTTCTCTTTGGATTAACTTCCAAGTGCCATTCCCAGAAGTAGAGTCTTCTATATATTATTAGTTTGAAGAACTCAATAAATTTTGAGACATTTTTTTTTCTGTTCCTCACTCCTACCATTTTCTGGGTTCTATGTGTTCATTTCATATAAAAAGAGTTCATGTATTTGTAACATATGTAAAGCTTTACAGATACGTTCTCCTATGTGTAAATTATACTGTTTTCCGCCCTGGGTTCCTTCACTGTTGAAAGGCTCCACACACATTTGCACTACTCAGATGACCCTGAGGACACAGATAAATCTCCAAATGACCTCAGTGACTCTCTAAAAGAATGCAAATGACCAGCTGTCTGCAAGGAATATAAATCATTCCATTCTCCACCATCCAGTTAGAGCTGAAGAAACTTCTTGGATGAGAAGCGAAATGTCTTCAAGGAAAAACAAGAAAGTTCAGTTGCCTTCTGAAAAACACCTTTGGGACAACCATGACCTGGATGACTGAGAATCTTGACAGACATCAAACTTGGGGGGGGGGAGGAATCTCCACAACTATAAGCAACTCTGGTTTTTAGCCAAGAAGGATTTGTTCATTTGGAAGGAAGAATCTGGAATGCCTGAATCTAGCTTAGTTGGAAAACATGAATTGGAGAATTTAATTGAAATATAGTGATGAGAGATCAGGGAACAAGGCATCATCAGATTTGAGTCTTGTGCTTGAGCTTAGTATTGTGTATTATGTGCTTCTAAGAATGAATGCTAGTGATCTCTTTCTTCAACATCAATTCCCACAAATTTCTGGGTTCCATTTGCTCCCCTCATAAAAGCCACATAGTAATTACTAATTTTATATAGACAATTTCTATACTGTACATTGTACACTATAGATAGTGCTACACTGCTATAAAGAATGATAGAAATGAATGAGTGATATCTTTCCTTGTTTGCTAGATTTCTACCCTGACTTTTCTCCAGGACCACAAGAGAATGTAGCAGGAACTCTCTTCTCCCCCTTTTCCCCCACAATAACACCTGAGTAAAGGAGGTGGAAAGAGTGGGTTGTTAACAAGAAAGTCCAGTTGCCTCCTGAAAAAGCACCTTTTGGACAACCATGACCTGGATGACTGAGAATCTCCATAGACAGAAAAAAACATGTTGCCTTCCTCTTGAACATTACTCATAAACTCCTTCTTTGTTATGGTAGGCATGGTGAAATATTTCAACCATATTGGTTCATATTTCTGACATTCCTGCAAATGGAAGGAATACAAATAGAGGAGTCCTTCAAAAGACATAAAGGTTTAGAACCTAGAGTTTAAAGTTTCATCTTCAGGAACTCTGCTTGGAAATGCAATCAATTCCCATTCCTTTTAACACAGGGGAGAGCTAGAATCTTCCTTCCAATCATTCTACGTACAGAATCTTTCACTTCATTGTTCCTAATGGTGTAGATGAAAGGATTGAGCACTGGGGTGATCATAGTATACACAATGGAGACAACCTTCATTACCCTGAAGGAAGAGTTCTTGACCGTTGGCCTTAGGTAGACAAAAAAGACTGACCCATACAAAATAAAAACCACAATCAGATGGGAAGCACACGTAGAGAAAGCCCTCTGCTGTCGGGAGGTTGAAGACATTCGAAAAATGGTGAAGATGATGAAGAGGTAAGAAATGAGGGTGAAAAGCAAGGAAGACATAATCACAACCACAGAAACGAGGAAACCAAGGGTTTCGATAATACGTGTATCTCCTCCTGCAATCTTCAACACAGGTCCAACATCACAAAAGAAATGATTGATAATGTTGGAAGTACAGTAGGGCAAGTTTGCTATCATCACTACTTGACAAATTATGGAGACAAATCCTCCAAACCAGGCTGCTATTGCCAGCTTAAGGCACACCCCCGGAGTCATGATAGTGGCATATCTCAAAGGGTGGCAAATGGCTACGTATCTGTCCAAGGATATCAAAGTGATGATGAAAAATTCAGTGACCCCGAAAAGAAAATAGAAGCACAACTGAATTACACAGCAATAAAAACAGATGAAATTACTAGCAGAGAGATAATTGAGCAACAGCTTGGGTATAAAGGATGTGGTATGTCCAATGTCTATAAAAGAAAGGTTGCTAAGGAAGAAATACATGGGTTTCTGCAGGTGGTGGTCCACAATTACCATCATAATGATGAGCCCATTGCCCATCAAACTCAGGAGGTAGAGCAGAAAGACACTGGTGTACATCATGCTTTCCATACTCCCAAAAGTTGACAATCCAACAAGGAGGAAATCTGCAGATCTTGTACAGTTGGTCAAATCCATTCTTCCTTTTAGCTATCAAAGCAATCAGAATTGGAATTGAGTCAACCTTTTGCTATATTTCCTTCAATTATTTCTTAAGGTGCTAGCTTTGTTATAAAGCAGTGGTTCTCAACCTGTGGGTCGGGACCCCATTTGGGGTCGAATGACCATTTCACGGGGGTCGCCAAACAAGGCTGTCCACCATTTTTTCCCCCTTTTCTTTGGCCACGCCCCTGGCACCCGGTGATGTATAAGTGGTTGGGGGTCACCACAACATGGGGAACTGTATTATGGGGTCGCGGCATTAGAAAGGTTGAGAACCACTGTTATAAAGGCATGCTATGAAAAAAGCTAAGTTCTTACTAAAGTTTTCTTAAATTCCTGCCAAGCAAGACAAGATTGGCTTGGATCATAGAAGATGTTGAAACCAAAATCATGAATTTTAAAGGTTCCCTCCATGGCATCCCACAAAATATGGGGTCAAAAACATAGCAGAAGAGAAAGAGACCAGTCCTATTGGAAATTAAAATAGCAGCATTGGATTCTGGCAGAACGTGCATTACAGACAGAGGATTATTCTATCTTTAAATGTCTTCATGGAAATTCTGAGCCCTCTAAAGGGAACTTTATGTTCCAATGGAAGGATTCTTCAGAATATTTTAGGATTACATATTAAAGCAAAAATCCAATATATTGTAAAATATAATACATATATGTTTATGAATTTATGGGCGTATATACATAATTAAATTTTGAAGAGTACATGAAAACTAAGAGAAACTAAAAGAATAAAGAGAACACAGAGAGAAAGAGATTAGGAAAACAATTAAAATGTAAAACAAAAGGATAAAAAGTAGGAAGAAAAAGTTTCTGGTTTCCTTTGTAGCAAATACAAGTGTGATTACAAAATTACCTCTATGATTACACACACACACACACACGCACAAAAAAAACCTCACCTTTTTCTGTTAGTTGAACCATTGAAAACACAAATGATAAATACTTTGTTATATGCAAATGTCTATAAGATCTTTCCATTTACACATAAATATAGATCTTGTCTTTTCGTTAATCAAAGAAGTGAATTTACCCAGTAATAATTCTAAACTATCAATGCAGGGAATCCTTCTGTGCTTTTACAATCGGCAAAAGGCATAAACCTTTCTGCCACTTATCTTGAGTTTTTCATCTGTTGTTCCTTACCCTTGCATCTTTTCTTCATGTGTTTTTTTACTCCATCTCAATATCAAATCAGTCACTGATTTGCCCACAGATAACAACAGTCTGCCTTTGAGAAAATCCTATTTACTTCTTTAAAATATTGTCCTTAACATTTAATGCAGTTCCAAAAGATTGCATCATAGAAAAGGTGTTCATTTACTGCAGTAACTTGGGGTACCATCTCTGAGGACATTTCTTTCTAATTTCCCATGAGTATCCAGTCTTTGTGCTTAAAATTTATTATTTGAATAGCGTAACTCAAGGGTGATCTTATTTGTGTTAAATATTAACCTCCATACCAATGTATGGATCTGTTATTAATATTTTCAGGGAAGGAATTCATTAGAGGCAGTATTTTATCATTTTATTAGGATTTCCTCTTCCCCTTCTTCCACCTTCTCAAAGAGATTAAATTGGAGAGATTAAACAAAGGACAACAGTTGAGATTTTATTCAGACAATGTTTTTAGGGGGGGGGGAGAAACATTAGGAATCAGAAGTTTTACATTTTAGTGGATATTTTTTTCAAGAATTATCTCTCTTCTCCATTAGTGAGATTTTTATTTATTATATTTCATATTTTTAAACCCACCATCTCCTCCTGAGAGGGACTCTGGATGGTGTGCAAGTTAATCCATAAAACTAAGCATTAAGAACAGAATGATTTAAGATTATTTTTTTTAAATATGAAATGTTATAAAATTGCAAAAGATGGAGAGTTCCAAAATGGAGAGCTTAACAGTTGTTAATATAGGTGGTGGGGAGGCTTCCCACGGGGGCCAACCAGTCCCTTTGTGAGGGTCAAAGTTGGAATAAGAAATAATTGAAGGAAATATAGCAAAAGGTTGACTCAATTCCAATTCTGATTGCTTTGGTAACTAAAGGGAAGAATGGATTTGACCAGCTGTACAAGATCTGCAGATTTCCTCCTTGTTGGATTGTCAACTTTGGAGAGTATGGAAAGCATGATGTACACCACTGTCTTTCTGCTCTACCTCCTGAGTCTGATGGGCAATGGGCTCATCATTATGATGGTAATTGTGGACCACCACCTGCAGAAACCCACGTATTTCTTCCTTAGCAACCTTTCTTTTATAGACATTGGACATACCACATCCTTTATACCCAAGCTGTTGCTCAATTATCTCTCTGTTAGTAATTCCAAATGTTTTTATTGCTGTGTAATTCAGTTGGGCTGAAGAGTTAATAAAATGTAGACATAACCAACTTTAGGAATGGCCCTGCAAATTTCGCCCGAATAAAGCTAGACATGACTCATGCTGATTCAAAATAATTCATTCTTGGCTTAGTCTATGAATACTTACAGCCAATTTTTTTCTCCATAGTACATTAAATATTCAGGATGTGGGTAGGGGTGGGGGTTAGTGGCCTTTTAATTAACCCCTTGGTTAAAGTCACAGACTCAACAATATAGCCTTGCATGGATACTTGTCTGTTTGGCCTTGCCTATTGTGTTGCTTATTTAGGGTTTCTGGTTGTTCTTTGTTTATGAATAGTGTGGCCCAGCTTTCTGAATGGATGTAAAATATTCATTCCAAAAAACTAGCTTCTTTAAGCTTCTGCCTGAGGCTGATTTCCTACAGAAGAAAGACTGGGGCTGCTTTCTGTCTTTGTCAAGATTTTTCTTCTCTTCTCCTTTAGAGGAAATATTCTATCCTGCCTCTTTTAATATCCTGTAGAATATTTTTTATTCTGGAGGGGGGACTTCCCCCAATAATTAAATTTTGATTTTTGAATTAAGCAGGGGAGTGAACTCAATACCCAGATGGCCTCTTCCACCTCTAGATTTTATGCTTTTTAATAAAGTCTAAGAGTTTTGCTTAATAGAGGAGCACATAAAAAGTTATACCTGGAATTTAGAGTATTACTCAATTTGAAAGGTAATTTCTGAAATGAAGCTAGCAGATATGGAACTGTTGTTTCATAGAAGGACAACAGAGGGGGATAAACATCTTGAAATTTGACTCTGTCAGAGGCTAATTTAAAGGATAAAATTAAATAATAAAACCTATCCTGAGGTAGGGCTTAATTTTCTACAAATGTTTGTGGTACCATTTCTAGAGATATTTATCTCTCAATTTCTGTAAGTATTCATAGACTAAGCCAAGAATAAATTATTTTGAATCAGCATGAGTCATGTCTAGCTTTATTCGGGCAAAATTTGCAGGGCCATTCCTAAAGTTGGTTATATCTATGTTTTATTAACTCTTCAAAGACTCTTCAAATGCTCAATAAAAGCAGGAAGGAACTGGTTGGAGATAATGTCCAAGAATAATATTCTTCCACTTTTGTTTTTTCTCATTCATTTTTCCATTGGATTCAAGGTGAAGGTGAAGATATCATATAGTATCTTCAGAACTCATATATTTGAAATAATTTTAGGTGGGGAAGAGCAAGATAATTTAGTAAATCAAATGTTTTACGCTTTACTAAAATGTTATTCAAGGCAGGCAATTTTACATTTTGTGGACTTCAACTCCCAGACTTTCCCAGCCAGTATATCTAATCAGAGGATAACAAAATCATGTCCTGTATGTGACAATATTATTATCTAATGCAGTGTTTCTCAACCTTGACAATTTTAAGGCATGTGGACTTCAACTCCCAGAATTCCACAGCCAGCATTGTCAAGGTTGAGAAACACTGATCTAATGACATGCAGTATAATTATGTGATATATCTTATGAAATCACAATACATTTATTGTGTGTCCCATCTCCACCTCCCTTTAATTAATCTTCATTGAAGTTAGTGGCCTTCTCATGACTAGTTGTATTGATGTGGCAACTAGAGAGTTTATCTCCCTGGGATAAATAGGTTTCATTCTTCCACCAATATGGATACAGAAGGTGGAATTCAGTGGCCTGAACATCTCCTTGCAACTCTCGGATTTTATGGTGATACCAGAATAACATAGTTGTAAAGAACCTTGGAGGCCTTCTAGTCCAACCTCCTGCTCAAGTAGAAAACCCTATACCATTTCAGACAAATCATTCTATGTGGCAATGGTATATTGTTTAACAGTGGAGGTCACAAGGTGTGAGATCTAGAACTGACAAATTAAGAGAGTTCAGATGGTAAATATAATCGTAACATATATAGGCTTGAAAAAGTTCCAATATTTAACCATCCTTTTAGGGGTGAAGGTTCATTATCTGACTCTTCACTAAGCCACTTTTCTCTGTTCTTCACTCCTTCCATTTTTCTGGATTTCATTCTTTCTTCTTATAGAAGATTTGTGCATTTATAACGTTTGGAAAGCTCTCCAGATAAACTGTCCTATATATAAATGATACTATTCAGGGAACAGATAGACAAGAATCTCAAGAATGACTTTCTACCTGTATGATTGAGATACCGCCAATATTTCCCCATAAGAAGTTCTCTTTGTCAGGGTTGTGACTGACCCAAAGTCACCATTTGTGAGCTTCCATTACTAAGGGAGACTTGAATCTGTGTCTCTCCATTCCTGGCCCAACATGTCAACCAATGTACCACACTATTTTAGCACACAGCACTTCCAAGAACATAATCCAAGTAGAAGACTTAGTAAACAGATTTTATTAAAAACACATAACTATGCAAAATCAATGCATTATGATAAATGTAGTGATCCACCCACCCACCAATCTTCATCAATAAATACCTAATCAAAAAGGACTTGGGGTGACATGATAGCAGTCTTCCAGTATTTGAGAGGCTGCCACAAAGAAGAGAGGATCAACTTATTTTCCAAAATACCAGAAGGCAAGACAAGAAACAATGGATGGAAACTAATCAAGGAGAGAAGCAACCTGGAATTAAGGAGAAACTTTGTAATAGTGAGAACAATTAACCAGTGGAACAGCTTGCCTTCAGATGTTGTGGGTGCTCCATCACTGGAGGTTTTTAAGAGATTGGACAGCCACATGTCTGAAGTGGTATAGGGTCTCCTGCTTAAATAGGGGGTTGGACTAGAAGACCTCCAAGGATCCTTCAAGCTCTATTCTGATTGATTGGTTGGTTGGTTGGTTAAACTATATTCAGAAGTTATATTCAATAATACCAAGTAGGTTGCTAGTGATTGGGAGCACATTGCTAGTTGTAGGCTTACAGTAGTAGAGCAAAGATTTCCTACAATCATTTTATTATGAGATCATCATACAATTGCAACTTTTTTTTCTTTTAAAGACCCTGTAATCCCTTGCATTGGGGTGGACTTGGGGTATCTGAATGGAGCTGAGAATTTATCTAGGATTGAACTTGCAGCCTTCTGATTGTGAGGTGAGAGCCCCACCATGCTGCTCATACAATTGCAAATTAAGAGAAGAAAATTTCTGCTTGTAATCTGCCAGGTTGCCCACTGCTTTCTCCATTTTTGCTGAAGTTGTTTCATAAGAAATACCTGGACATTATCTTTAGAGGTGGATTTTGAATAAAGACATTTAGAAATAAGTTATCAACAAAGTCCTATACCATTAGATTTGGGGAGCCTGTGAGCTTTACTTCTAAAGATTTCCACACTGGATCCTTTACTTCATTATTTCCAATGATGTAAATGAAAGTATTTAGAGCTTGGGTGACCACTAGATACAATATGGAGACAAGACTACATCATCCTGAAGCATGAGAAATTGAGAATTTGTCTGAAATAGATTTAAATTGACTGCCCCATAGAAAATGCAGATGTAGAAAACACAATGGTAAACAGATTCCAAACTTATGTTACATAATTCAACATTACATTAGCATCTTTAACATTTAAAGTTTTCCCATAAATCTATCATTATATTTAATAGACTGTTTCTAAAAGATATGTAATATTCACATGTCCATACCATGCAAGACAGGGAGCCCTCAAATTTCAGCATTAAAAACTGATTTATCATTTTTTCAATACATTCTTTGGGGACACCTATATACAGTTTGTCTGATTATTCAGCCTTCATCTCACATCTGAAGTTACTAATTTAAATTTTTAAAGACCCG